TATCGCTACTACAAACAGACAAGGTTCAACTACTCCATATCCTTGGTATATCGCTATTACGAACAGACAAGGTTCAACTACTCCTTATCCTTGGTATACCGCTACTACAAACAGACAAGGTTCAACTACTCCATATCCTTGGTATACCGCTACTACAAACAGACAAGGTTCAACTACTCCATATCGTTGGTATACCGCTACTACAAACAGACAAGGTTCAACTACTCCATATCCTTGGTATACCGCTACTACAAACAGACAAGGTTCAACTACACCATATCCTTGGTATACCGCTACTACAAACAGACAAGTTTCAACTACTCCATATCCTTGGTATATCGCTACTACAAACAGACAAGGTTCAACTACTCCATATCCTTGGTATATCGCTATTACGAACAGACAAGGTTCAACTACTCCATATCCCTGGTATATCGCTACTACAAACAGACAAGGTTCAACTACTCAATATCCTTGGTATATCGCTACTACAAACAGACAAGGATCAACCACTTTCTATCCTTGGGTAACACAATCTACAATCACCCACGAAAGAACGCCAGAATTTTCCACACCATCTACAAATAGAGGTCAGTGTTATATTTTTGAATTTTTATAATATAATGTTAAAATAATATTAGTGATTTTTTTTTTAAATTTAATTGAATTTATGTTTCATTATGAACTGTGAACAATATTATGTTTTGTATATCTATAATTACAGTCAATATTTAACAAAATTAAGTTGTCTATGCTTTATCAAACAACAGCTTCATCTTTGATTCTTAAAATAGCGTCTTTTATGTTCAAAAACTGAGTACATAATTGTCATAGTGTTGTTGTTGGTTTTTTTTTTTTATACTGCATAACTTAAGCATTCGGCACTGCATCAGGAAGATGTGAGGCATTTAATGGAAAATCATTTTTAAAAAGATTGTAACGAAATAAATGAGTGAACCAAAATATAAAGGTTAAGATATCTAACACGGCAACAATTGGAACACTTTATGCTGTTAAATTAATTGTGCGAAGGAAGGAAGGAAGGAAGGTGCTTATGGGTCTCTATGCTCAGTTCAAATGATCACATTTTGTATCATAAAATTTTGATTATCTTTTTGTATAAAGCCTGGTAACAACTTTCTAATTATTACTTTAACAAATTTTCACTTTTGTCCCAAAACAAAAAAAAAACAAAACAACATAAAAACACGCACAAAATAATGAGTTCATACAAATTTGAAGCAAATTTAATCGTGTGACCTGAGCTATAATTGTTAAAGTTATATCAAACTTTAAATAAAAGGATACAATTATGAATAAGGTATTCGTTCTAGTACGCAATCTATCGGGAGAAATGATATTTTCTCATTGAGAATGATTAAAGATAGATCATGTGATCCTGTTTGCCTTTCTTCCGTGTCCTATTTTGACGGCTGGATACAATCAGTTCACAGACATTTTAGCACCTCTCATTAAACTGGATCTCTTCATTTATCGTCGCTTGCCTTCTCTGAGCCCCCAATTTCTCATGGTGTTGACATACTGCGTAGGATCTAGTTTACCCGGGGACCTTCAGCAATGCAACATTTTATCATTGACAGCGAACCAAGTAGTTTCTTCTTTCCGTTGTTTCCTATCAAAGTTATATCACCAGTGGCGTTGCTTGGTTTGGTGCCGCCCCGGGGAGGTCCAAGATTTTTACCGCCTTTTCCAATGCAAATGCTTTTCCTCCAGGTAAGAAAAAATGCGCCCGAGCTACGTTTTTCTTACGCATTTTTATGAGAATTTAACATACTGCATAAACAGAAATATTAATGCCATGTTCCTTTCCCATCAGCATGTGGAGGACAACTTATTCAACCCTACGGGGTAATCATGTCCCCTGATTACCCATTCAACTACGCTGACAACTTGAATTGTTGGTGGAAGATCCTGGCTGGAAAGGAAGAAATTGTTGATATCAGGTAATTATTTCAAGCGTTGTGTGCTTCGAATACTTTTCCAGCGTTCCCGCTATTAAAATAAATGAATACATTACACATATCATCAACAGCAAAAATCACAAGTTCTTATAAAGGCACAGATCTTGTAATTCTATCAAGACCTCAACGCCCTATAATTTACAGGATACGTGTGTTTAGTGACAGAACTTTGGTATTGACGCGGAAAATGTCTCATAGTCGATTATATTCTGCGAACATTCAGATTCAAGTTTTTTTCTAAGATCATGTCGAGTAGCTTTCATGTTCTTTAGGTAACCGACCTTTCATCTCAGCGCTTTGAAACAAAATATATATCATTTACTTGTATTGATTTTTAGCAAAAAAGTCATGAACAGATCAACAAAAAAAAAATACTGGAATTGGTTTAGGGTAACCAAAATGTTTACAGCATACCCATAGTGTTCATTACTCTATCAAATTATGCATTCTAAAATCGTTCACTTGATACACACACTCAAATAGAGTCTACGTGCCAAAAGAAGTTATGTTTCAAGGGGGATTGAAGTATTTGAATAGGCTCAAACAATTAAATCGTGAACTATATAATTTAGTTAACTATCTGTGTTCATAATGAAGCACGCTTTCACTATAACATTTTAAAATCCTTTACATTAACTTCGCTTTTGTTTGTGCCTGGCTGGCTGGGTGGCAAAATCTTTGAATGGTTAAGTGACCCCCACGTCCCGTCCAGCTATCGATCTAAAATTTGGCACATACACTTGTTGCCGAAGACAACATATTCTATCAAATTTTCAGCCCGACCCCCCCCCCCCCCCAATCTAAAATTTGGCACATACACTTGTTGCCGAAGACAACATATTCTATCAAATTTTCAGCCCGACCCCCCCCCCCAAAAGATCAGTATTTCTGCTTTTCTATTGAAAGATGAAGAAAATATGTTTCCGTTGATTTCATGAATTGAACTTCCCCGATAACTCCGCTAAATGAGATTCTTCAAAAAAATATCGCAAGTACGTTTGATGCCTAATAGTTTATTTTTGCTTTTCTGAAATCTGCGGTGTAAAAGCGGATGAGCCATTAGAATATTAATATAGTTCCGAGTTGTGAAAAAACATTTCGGTTGCGAGCCTTAGGGTGGGGAGAATCACTCATTTGGATTCTTATAAAGTGTGTCACGCGTATGAATATTTTGTCCAATTTTCAAACCCCCATGTCCCATTGCTCGATATTAATTTCATAAAGGATTTATACAAATAAAATTGTAGGGTTTTTTAATTATTTTTTAAACAATAAATATATCAGTAACAGTAAATATTTCCCCGAAATCTCATTGTTCAAGGGTTTAAACTAGTTAACACCTGAATTTGACACAATGATGATATACATCCACCCATCCCTGTGGCGCTACAGCCCATGTAGTGCTTTGGCCTGCCTCACTACTTCCTTTTACTCAGACCATCCATCCCTGTGGTGCTACAGCCCATGTAGTGCTTTGGCCTGCCTCACTACTTCCTTTTACTCAGACCATCCATCCCTGTGGTGCTACAGCCCATGTAGTGCTTTGGCCTGCCTCACTACTTCCTTTTACTCAGACCATCCATCCCTGTGGTGCTACAGCCCATGTAGTGCTTTGGCCTGCCTCACTACTTCCTTTTACTCAGACCATCCATCCCTGTGGCGCTACAGCCCATGTAGTGCTTTGGCCTGCCTCACTACTTCCTTTTACTCAGACCATCCATCCCTGTGGTGCTACAGCCCATGTAGTGCTTTGGCCTGCCTCACTACTTCCTTTTACTCAGACCATCCATACCTGTGGCGCTACAGCCCATGTAGTGCTTTGGCCTGCCTCACTACTTCCTTTTACTCAGACCATCCATACCTGTGGTGCTACAGCCCATGTAGTGCTTTGGCCTGCCTCACTACTTCCTTTTACTCAGACCATCCATACCTGTGGCGCTACAGCCCATGTAGTGCTTTGGCCTGCCTCACTACTTCCTTTCACTCAAACCATCCATCCCTGTGGCGCTACAGCTCGTGTAGTGCTTTGGCCTGCCTCACTACTTCCTTTCACTCAGACCATCCATCCCTGTGGCGCTACAGCCCATGTAGTGCTTTGGCCTGCCTCACTAATTCCTTTTACTCAGACCATCCATACCTGTTGCGCTACAGCCCATGTAGTGCTTTGGCCTGCCTCACTACTTCCTTTTACTCAGACCATCCATCCCTGTGGCGCTACAGCCCATGTAGTGCTTCGGCCTGCCTCACTACTTCCTTTTACTCAGACCATCCATCCCTGTGGCGCTACAGCCCATGTAGTGCTTTGGCCTGCCTCACTACTTCCTTTTACTCAGACCATCCATACCTGTGGCGCTACAGCCCATGTAGTGGTTTGGCCTGCCTCACTACTTCCTTTCACTCAGACCATCCCTCCCTGTGGCGCTACAGCCCGTGTAGTGCTTTGGCCTGCCTCACTACTTCCTTTCACTCAGACTTAAATAGTACTTTTCTTTTCCATGCTTGCATTCCCGGCTGGCCTAGAGATTTTTTCATTAAAGCCTAGGTCTGCCTTTGAGCCGTTTTCCTCTTGGGTTTTGGTGATTCACCCTCTTAACTCCTTTGTCATTTGGCATTCTTTCTAATTTAGTGTCCCGCCCAGCGCAGACTTATCTTTCTTAGAGTGGGGTCCAGATATAGAGTGCATAATTCCTTGTTGGTTCGTATTCTCCATCCATATTCATCCTTGTTGGTCCATAAATTTTCCGTAGAAATTTTCTCTCTAATGTGTTTAATGGGTTTTCTGCCGTTTCTGTTAGTGTCCAAGTTTCACTTGCGTATGTTACAACTTGTCAGACTACAGATTTATAAATAGCTTTCTTTGTTGTTGTTAATTTTTTTTGTTTTTTTTATGTTTCTACTTGTGAGTATTTTCTGACAACTGAAGTATGCCCTGTTTCCGGTCGATATTTTTTCTTTTATTTCTTTTATTCATTCATTTCTTTCATTTAATAATGTGTGACTTACACGAATTATTATATTTTGTTTAAAATCAGTTTTAAGCGATTGGACATCGAAGGGGATGACGAGTCCAACGACTGCCCCGACTACCTTAAAGTGTTTGACGGAGATAGTTCTGACTCTCCACTTCTGACCACGCTCTGCGGATCCGACTCTGAGGCTAAATCCGTTCGCCTGAGATCGTCTCGGAATGCGCTCCTAATTCAGTTCTTTACAGATTACTCCATTACCAGACCAGGATTCATTGCTGTCTTTTGGACTCACGGTACGGTGTCCTTTGTTTTTTAAATATGTCATTTTCTTTCATTGGATTTAATATAAATAAATATGTATATGTATATATACGCACGTTTGTTTTAGGCTCGTGATGGCAAAAGAACTGATGACTGATTAAAATACTAAAATTTAATAGAAAACATTATATATATATATATATATATATATATATATATATAAATCCCCCCCCCCCCAATTATAATATGGCGTTCCGTGCAGTTGCCCAGTAAGTTTCAATAGTTTTCAACTGCTTCCGAATCAAATATTTGATCCTATTAGTGTGCTTACCTTTCACCTATGGGTACGACACGTGCAGCACACCCTGCGACTGCGTCAAAGAGAACACGCTGTCCTGTGACGCAATCAACGGCACGTGCTGGTGTAAGTATGGATGGAACGGAACCGACTGTTCAAGAGACGTCAACGAGTGCCTGGATCGGAAAACTAGCGACACGTGTGAAGCAGACGATTATCAAATCTGTGTCAATTTCCCTGGAGGCTACAATTGCTCATGTCCCCCGGGACTCATCAAAGGGAGGTCGGGATATTGTGAAGGTAAATTACATTTTTTTTCTTAAAAATATAAGTCTCTGATTGTTACCCTGTCTGCTTTTAAATAACGTGATCTACTCAGAGGCGTAGCGAGGGTGTTTGGCGCCCTGGGACAAGATTCGCGCCCGGGGACAAGATCCATTTTAAAGCGCCCCCTTTTCTTTTTTTCAACTCTCAAACCTATTATTTTCATCAATAAAATAATATCAAAGCACATTTTGGCGCCCCTAACTAGCTGGCGCCCGGAGACATCTGTTCCCCCCTCCTGCCACCCCCTCGCTACGCCTCTGGATCTACTTATTCTGTTAAAACCGTTTTTAAAAATTGCTGGGTGTTAGTATTAGGAAATGTATGACGTATAGGCTGTCTGTCAATAATTGTGTGTATTTGTAACTCTGTATATCTCTATAGCTCTCGTTCTCTCTCTCTCTCTCTCTCTCTCTATTTATATATATATATATATATATATATATATATATATATGTCTCTTTGTTTCACTCTCTCTCTCTGTCTCTCTCTCTCTCTGTCTTTTGTCTCTACCTAATTTCTTTATTTCAATCTATTTATTTATATATATATATTGTGTATGTGTGTTTGTTATCTATATGTGTGTGTGTGTGTCTCTCTATATATCTCTATCTCTCTCTCTCTCTCTCTCTCTCTCTCTCTCTCTATATATATATATATATATATATATATATATATATATGTCTCTTTGTTTCACCCTCTCTCTCTGTCTCTCTCTCTCTCTGTCTTTTGTCTCTCCCTAAATTCTCTATTTCAAACTATTTATTTATATATATATATAGTGTAAGTGTGTTTGTTTTAAGTAACCACCTTGTTTTCATGAAATGAAATTTCATTTTCTGTCATTACCACTATATTATGTCACAATTCCTCATATCAGGAAGTGAAGATTGTATTTTAAATATAATATAATATCAATAAAGTTTCAATTGTTCCACAAGATTAAGATTTGTATATTAAATAAATTTTTACAATGAAATATTGGCAGACAGCGTTGAATGCACTTCCAATAATTGCTCGCATTTGTGTGGCGTGACGTCAAAAAACCCGAGACAAGAAACGTGCTACTGTCCACGGGGGATGATATTAGATTCATCACGTGACACTTTGTGTGTTGGTGAGTAAAACATAAATGTTCAGTTCGTGTGTTGTTCAGTACAAGGTGTTCAATTTTTGTGGGTCTGAACCAATTGAAATGTTCACTTTGGGTCTGGGTCGTTTCAGATGTTCACATTGTGTGTTTATCGGTTCCATTGTTCCCATTGTGTGTTGATCTGTTCATATGTTCCCATTGTGTGTTGATCGGATCTCTAAGCCTAAGTGAGAAAGGGTAAAGTTTGGATCCCTACTTGAGACAGGGTCTAGGATGGATCCCTACTTGAGATATGGTCAAGGGCGGATCTCTATATGAGATATGATGAGGAAAGTATTTCTACGTGAGATGTGGTCAAGGGCGGATCTCTATATGAGATATGGAGAGGAAATTATTTCTACGTGAGATGGCGTCAAGGGCGGATCCCTATGTAAGGCTAAATTCACATAGAGTATTAAATTATTTTATGTGTCATTTTTTTCATATATAACATATAAATCTATTCCGTTTGAAATTGAAATTGGTTTATTATATTTTTTTTTTTAATCCAAATTCTCCACATGTGGTTACTATACAAATTTTAACTCTTGTATACAAGCACATTTGTTTAAAGGTTTTGCAATAGCAAAAGAACTGATGACTCCTCTGAAATCTAGTCGAATCACAACATCATTTTAAAAGACAGAATAGTCAAAGTTGACGGCCATCCTTGGGCTCTTTAATGTCTTAATCAATTTTAATTTATCAAAACGTATTTCTCCGGTTTCGTCACGAAAACTTGAAGAGAAGTTAATGGGGGGGGGGTGTAAAGAACTTCCAGGGATTTATGCGTCCCATGTTTTGTTGTTCATTTCAGATTGCAGCAACTTTACGTACGGGAAAGACTGTCAACAGGCGTGTCCTTGTGCGCGCAACACCACTCGGACTTGCGAGTCGAAATTCGGGACGTGTCGATGCAACCCCGGCTGGACGTCCAGTAACTGCTCCCAGGACGTCAATGAATGCAACACCGGGGCTTACAGCTGCCGCTCCAACTCCTACTGCATTAACACACCTGGAAGCTATACTTGTCAATGTTATTCGGGGTATACATTGGACGAAGACGGCAACTGTGTCAATTCTATTCAAAGTAAGTCAATATTTATGTCCTCTTTTTTTATACAATAAACAAATAGAACAAAAATGATTCAAGTATAACTAAAAAAAACGTATATTTTTTTTTAGCCTGGGTTTTAATGTAAATCATAGTCAAAGTTGTGGTAATATGATTAGCCTACTTTTTTTTTCTTACGAGCCGACTTCAAACAAGTTTAGGAATCATATGCAGCTAAAATGTAATCATCAAGACGATCGAATACATTCAAAAAATAAATTTTATATCTTTACAAAAAAAAAGTCTTAAACGACAATGTGAATATTGACCAAACTGATTGTTACTGGTGTTTAGTATTATTTTAAAACTAGTTATTGTCCGCCAAAGAATTCCGGCGGTGATGCAAGAACTTCCTATCTACCTAAGTTACTTTAAAAGACATTCATTCAAGTAACGCAATTTTTAAGAATCCCGAGTAGTTACATCCCCTGCCAAGGTAGCCACCGCCGCTGAACTATATTAATATTCTAATTTTAACGTACAAATCTTTTTTACACTGCAGATTTGTTACGTCATAGTTTAAGTAAGACTTCATGCAAAAGAAAATATTAACACCAAACACTCTTGGGGTACTTTCAAAGAATCTCCTTTAGGGCAGTAATCGGGAAATTTATTTTTAGGCGATTTTGAACTCGCCACTACACCATACATGCATGCCTGGAGAATTATATTGATTGAAGTCTAATCCTAATTGAAGTCTCATCCTAATAAGTTTCTTATATCCCTTATCTCAGGCTGTGGTTCTACTTTGACTCAAACTTCTGGGATCATCACGTCACCGGGTTACCCAAGTGTTTATCAAAACAATCAGCGTTGTAACTGGAAACTTGTCATGCCTAAAGGCAACTTCATTTCATTGATGTAAGTTATATCACTAAAAAAAAAAACAATTACATCAGTAGGCAAAGTCGGTTGGTGTACCTCTAAGGTAGACTTTTAAAAAATGTTTCACTCAGAAGCAGCAGCATGGCGAAAAGAAGCCTAAGTGTTGAACAATCGACCAAAGAATGAAACCGATAAAAGCTGCTCTCTCTCATAAATGGTGCGTTCTGTCATAAAAGGTGCGTTCTCTCATAAATGTTGAGCTCTCTCATTAAAGGTGCACTCTCTCATAAATGGCGCACTCTCTCATTACGGGTGCGCTCTCTCATAAAAAGTGCGCTCTCTAATAAAAAGTGCGCTCCATCATAAAAGGGGCGTTCTCTCATAGAAGGTGCGATCTACAATGATATACTTCAGCGATTTCCTTCATAACCCCTTCAGTGTGATCCATTTCCAAGATCCAAAGCAGCACTATAGTCTATACTCTGTGCCGATGTTTCATGCAAGATTGCTATCTGTCCGTAAATTTTCTGACACTGTAAACATTTGACCCTAAATGAGTTTTCGTAAATGTCCTTAACACTTTAAGATGTTCTTAAGAAAGTGGCATTTTAATTTTGGCATTTATTCCCATTAGTGAAAATGAAGATGTATTGAGCCGTTGTTGGAAATGGCGCTTTCAATGGAGGAAAAAATCAGTTGGGAACGAGGGGCGTGTAAGTGCAGTTGCCACAAGAGGCACTTTTGGGGGGCAGAAAATCATGGGGTTTTTTGTTGGGGTTTTTGTTGGGGTTTTTTTTTCGTTTTTTAGTTGCAAAAGTAATACATTTTGATTTACATTTCTTTTTACATTTAAGAAAATATTTCGTCCAAAAGAGAGACCAATACACCGAAATTGCAGATATCTATACATTCAACAAAAGTCGAATAAATATTTTTTAAATGTGCGTTTTTGCCAAGCATAAAATAATCGCTAATTAAATGAAGAAATAAGTTCATTTGTGATAGTGATATTTTTTGTAATTTACAGAAACCAGCCACAATCACAATTCAATTTGGTTAACTCTGGGGAATGGATCAACACTTTTTTTTTTTTATTTAATATTTTGAATGTAAGGGGACATAACAAAATTTAAAAAATAATAAGTGAAAACTTTAGTTCTTTTCTTAATTTTTAAAGTGCACTTCGAAATAACACTCTGACACAAGAAGTAGTCAGTAGACCTAGAAGTAGAAGGCCTCATTTTAACTTCAAATCATTTGACAAATGAGTCTTGTTGGACTTAGATGTTCAAGATATTGTAATGTTAGTTAATTAATTTAGTTCTGATAAGTAAGTAGTTGTAATAATCTGAGTGAATGTTTCACCATTGTCACCATCCTTCAATTTACTACTTACTAAGAAAAAGTGACTTACTGTTGATACAGTATTAAGTGTCAGTTATTATAATTAAATATAAAATATTATTTATGTATGAATTTAAAAATAATTTTCCTTTTTTCATCTATTAAGCAATTGGTTTAATTTAATGTGTTTTCAGCGAGTAAGAGTGCCATTAAAAATTTTAATAAAATTTAAATTACTATTAATATTATTTAATTTGCTAATCATGTATTACATCAGTAACATCAGAAATAATTCAAATTAGGCCTACGTCATAGGTTGTTTACCTATTTTATTAATTTATAAAAATATATTTAGAAAATTTATTTTTTACTCTTAGCTTCTCTGCATATGACGTTGAAGGATGCCCATATGATTATATAGAGATATATGATGGCAATAGTACTGGGTCTCCACTTATTGGAAAGTACTGTTCTAGTACTTATGGACCATGGATGATCTCTACCTCCAACTCTCTGTACAT